CCTGGACCACCGACCTCTGCGGCCCCTGAAGGGCTGAGCCTGGACCACCGACCTCTGCGGCCCCTGAAGGGCTGAGCCTGGACCACCGACCTCTGTGGCTCCGTTCACCCTGGTGCAGAGAACATGCCCGGCTTCTCGGTCGCTTACTACATACTCAGCCTAATGTTGTTCTTGCCAAGAGTTGGGCCGGTTCCTACCCAAGACGGTTTGCTTTCTGGGGGCTGTGCAGAGGGCTTTTCACCTGACTGGTTCCTCACCTGCCTTTGCCTTGATGCCCACACTGCAGACAGCTCCAAAAGGCCCATGCTCTCTCCCCTGGACCTCGAGTATGGAGCCGTGCCCACAACTCTCCCGTGGTTGCGGGGCAAGGTGGCAGAAGCTTCCACTGGCCCCCAAACTTGGGGCCCTGCGGGGGATGGAACTCTTAGGCTCAGGATCATCCATGGGAGAGTGTTGGCAGGGCAACGAGTCACCGACTATGCACCCTGGGGTTCACTCACCTCCCCAGGAAGTTCAAGGTCACTGTCATCTTTTGGAAGGTCTGAATTAGGGTGGGCCCCAAGACCTGGATGCCTCGAAGGGTCTCTGGAAGGCAGAGAGGGCCCCATTAGACCTGGTGGCTGAGGACAGCGGTCCCAGAGCTCCTAGGGCCCGGGGCTGTGTGACCACCACCCCGTCAGGCTCTCTCCCGAGGTGGGGGTCGCAGGTCCATCCAGGGCATGCCTGGGTCCCGCACCCCCCGACCCGACAGCAGCAGGTGCCGGAGCCGCTCCGAGTGAGGATGCTGGACGAAGCGGAAGCAGGCAGGCCTCTGGTAATCTGGACGGAGGGCTAGCTCCGGAGAACCCCCCTCCCCCACCACCTGTGCAACGTGGGGTAAGTGCCACCCCATCCGCACGCACTGCAGCACAACTCAGAAATCTGCCGCAGCTGCTCAAGCACCCACTCTGGCCAAAGGCAAGGGGAGGCGGGTTTGGGTGCTTCTTCTCTACAGGAGGCCAAGGCTGTCCTAGCCTCAACAGGCCAGTCCTCGACAGGACGCCAATGTGGCCCGAGAACAAAGAGCCACGTGGACCCACCAGCCGACAGCACAGTGTCTGGCCACAGGCTCGGGCTCTGGGAGCAGGCGGGTCTGGGTTCAAATCCAGCTCTGCCACTTGGTGGCCATGTGACCTCTGCCATGGCCCCCAGTGCCCTCTCAGAAGTGGGGATAACGACCCTCTGCTCAGAGGGCTGCCCAGGGGATGACAAGAGAGGATGTGCATCCAAGCTCAGCCCAGTGCCCAACTGGAGCCACTCTGATCTTCATGGGCTCCAACCTGGGAAAGAGTTCTGCCCAGGGCTCCCCAAGGGGCCAAACATTCGACCTGCACCAACCCCCGGAGACCCACCCTGCAGCTTCAGCGAGGCAGAGAAGTCGCCTGTCTTCTGCATAATGCCCTTCCCAGCGTTCTGCGTTGCCTGTTCCCACTCGGCCACCACCTTGAGCTTCACGGTGAAGGTTCCAATGATGGAATAGTTGTAATAGACCATAGCATCTTCCGTCACCATCTGGGTGCTGTAAGGTGACAGGAGGGAGATGACAGAAGTGACTCATGTGGCCTCTTAGAGTCAGGGGTGTCCGTGGAGTGACAAGCTTGGCTACCAATGCCTTGTGAGCAAACCGGGCATCATCACAGCAGCCCCCTGAGCTGGCCGGGATGCAAGGTCAGCCATGCTTGGGTGAACTGGCTGCTGGTCATCTTTGTGCTTGTAAGTGACAGGTGGGAGAACTCCTAGCAATAAAGTGCCTGTCACCTGCCAGGAAGTGCTCTGCCCCCTTCCGCCAGGAATCTAAAAGAGGCCCTGCATTAGAGACAAGGACAATCCTGGGAGGGAAAAAATATACACTTTGGAGTTAAGACATACTTGGCTTTGAATCTCAGTTCTAGATTTCCTATCTATATAGCTCTAAGTCTTACTTTTTTCATCTGTAAAACAGAATAATATCTCTATCATAGGTTATTAATATCATGCTTTTTCCTGCAATTACGTGAATTACTTCAAAAGGAAGTCTAATAACAGTAAAGAAAATCTTTGTTGATTTCTCAATGCTCTTTACATATGAAGTTTAACAAACCTTTGCCTATTAAATATCTTCCAAATATTTTCTAAACCCAGTTTAACATTTGTCTTTTGGTTTGATTTACTCCTTTTTTTTGGTTTACTTCTTTCATACCCAGATTTTAAATTTCATGAACCAAATCTAGCATTTTTTTCCTTTACAGTTTCTGCCTCTGTTTCTCTATTCTTAGAAATGCTTTCCCCACTGCCAAATTATCCAATTGCAGGGGATCATCTACATTTCAATCTAGTCCTGGTTTGTTATGTTTAATTTTTCAATCTATCTAGAATCGCTTTTGTTAAGGATCAGATTGTTTTTCTTCTAAATAGTTAACCAATTGCCTGAGTGCCATTTATTAAATAATCTATCTTTACTCACTGGCTAGAAATACCACTGTTACCATATACTAGGTGTGTATAAGCTCAGGTTTGTGTCTGCCTTTTCTATTCTGTTCTGTAGCCTTTTGTTGCTGCAAATTATTTGTGACTTCTTTTTAAGATTTTAATTTTAAGTAATCTCTACACCCAATATGGAGCTCGAACTCACAACCCTGAGATCAAGAGCTGCATGCTCTACCAACTGAGCCAGGCAGGCGCCCCTATTTGTAGCTTTGAAAATACATTTATGTATGCATTTCTAGTTCTTCTCCTCATCCCTGCTCATTGTCATTGTTTTTCTGATCTTTTTACCTTCTGACAATATTGAGACATTCTCTCTTCATTTTTTAAGTCTTTTTAAGGTTCTAGGTACAATTTGTGGTTTTATTCACATAAATCCTACCATTTGGGGCTAAGTTTATTCTCTCAGTTTTTTTTTTTTTTTAAAGATTTTTTATTTATTTATTTGAGAGAGAGAATGAGATAGAGAGAGCATGAGAGTGGGGAGGGTCAGAGGGAGAAGCAGACTCCCCGCTGAGTGGGGAGCCCGATGCGGGACTCGATCCCGGGACTCCAGGATCATGACCTGAGCCGAAGGCAGTCGCTTAACCAACTGAGCCACCCAGGCGCCCTATTCTCTCAGTTTTTATGGTTTATAACTATTGTAAAAGATTTTTTTCTATTACCATTATATGGAAAGGCTATGAATCTTTGTTTTGTAACCGGCCATATCACTGAAATCTCTTCTTAGTTCTAAGATTTTTCAGTTGAGTCTCTTGTGTTTCCCAGGTCGTCTATATGTGTGATGATTTTTGTCTTCCTCCTTTACAGTATTTATATTTCTTTTTCTTGTCTTATTTCATGGGCTAGTCAAAAATGTTCTATTTTGGTAAAAAAAGTGAATAATGTATTTAATGTGAAAAGAAATGCCCCTAATTAGTATAGAGACTGTCCCCTGGTTTGAGACAGATGTTCCAGATGTTCTTTAGGTTATAAAACCACATGTATGTTTATAATGACATACATTTTTATACATGTATATATGCATATATGCATTCATGCATATGTATATATGTGTATATTATGTGCAACTTAAACCCCAAATTTAGATGAACTGTAGAATCTTCATCACAATCCAAAATTATACTTAATGGAATATTTATTGGACTTGCATCAAGCTTATGGGATAACTGGAGGGAAATGGACATCTTTACAATATTAAGGTTCACCAGCCTAGACATGGTGTACAGAACACATTCTACTCAAATCTTTTTTTTTTTTTTTTAAAGATTTTATTTACTTATTTGAGAGAGAGAGAATGAGAGAGAGCAAGCACATGAGAGGGGGGAGGGTCAGAGGGAGAAGCAGACCCCCGCCGAGCAGGGAGCCCGATGTGGGACTCGATCCAGGGACTCCAGGATCATGACCTGAGCCGAAGGCAGTCGCTTAACCAACTGAGCCACCCAGGCGCCCTCTACTCAAATCTTTAATACCTCTTAGTTGGGGCACCTGGGTGGCTCAGTCTATTAAGTGTCTGCCTTCAGCTCAGGTCATGATCTCAGGGTCCTGAGATCAAGCCCCACATTGGACTCTCTGCTCAGCAGAGAGTCTGCTTCTCCCTCTCACTCTCACTCTGGGGTCTCTCTCTCAAATAAATAATAAAATTTTTAAAAAAAAATCTTTGATACCTCTTAGTAGCTCTAGTTTTCTTCACACAGGATCTTACCCATTTCCAGGTAAGTGTGTTCCTATGTTTATGTACTATTTTTGCTATAATTAGGAGTTCCCACTTTGTTTTCTAACTTATTACTATACATAAGAAAGCACGTTGAGCCTTTAAGTCCCATGGGGGTGAGGAGTGATGCAAGAGAAGGATTACTAAACTTTTGATGAACTTGGAAAGTTGGTCTGTGTTTCTCTGCAAGCCTGAGAAATGTCTTAAGGAATGCCAAAAAATGGAAGGTGGAAACATATGGGATAGAGTAGGAAGGACCATCAGCCAGGGACTTGAAGGGACCCAAAGGGAGTGAGGGGTCTCCGCAGAGCACCACCCTCACAGGAGCTCAGGGTGTCTGTGGGCTGCCTCGGCTCAGTGCCTGACCCCCACTTCCTGACCTGCCTCCTCCAGCCTGGCTTGTTTGGAGAGGAGAAGTCAGGAGAAATGAGGCCAAAACACCTGAGTTCTACCACAGGAGTATACTTGCATGTGCCATCAGCCAGGTAGGTCCTTCCAGAGTCAAATGGAGAAAAATCCTACTTTGACCTTTATTAAAGGCATGTAAGGGGCACCAATGACCTCCTGTACAAGGCTGTAGGCACCTCAAAGGCAGGTCCCATGACTGGCTCACCACTGGTCCCCACGTACCCCACACTGGACACAGAGCAGGAGTGGCAGGAAGGTTTAGAGGGAGAGAGCGTGAGCAGGTGAGGGTGGGAAAGTACAGAGCACTCTGCATGGGACGATGGGGCCACCAACCACAGGCCAAAGCTTTGGGGCATCAACGGGGAAAGACATACCCATCTCCGAAGTCCCAGTTGTAGAGAAATGAGGCCGTCTTGAAGAAGTTGCTCGGGTCGTGGAGGAGGAAGGAAACTTTAAGGACTGTCTTGGTGAGGTAAGAGCTGGGCCAGGGCAGGGAGGTGTTCTGGGTGACAACGAGGTTCCCCACGAGGAGCTCTGGGAGAGAGACCATAGGCGGGTGAGTTCCCCCGAGGGGGCGGGAAGGAGGAGCCAGGGAGTGACCTCACATGCCAGCTGGCAGGACAGCCTCTCCCCACCCCCGAACTTCTGGCTGTCAGAGCTGAGTGGTGGCAGGAGGGGACCTGCAGGTCCCCCACATCATTGCCCCTGCTGCATGGGACACTGGGACACTGGTGAAGACTCACAGCACATAGCACACACACATCCTCGCTCCTACGCCACTTTCACCAGGATCCCGAACTTTCTGGCACAAAAGATGCCCAGGACCAGGAGGAAATGCATAGGCTTTGAAAGAAATTCTCAGGAGAGATTTCAGATTATTAGATGAGCCTAGAAAAAAATTAGCAGTTCTACTGATCATAGCGCTACACGCAATGTGCTGGGCTGGGTAAGGACCACCGTTCCGTGTCTCCTTCTCTAAAAAAAAAAAAAAAAAAAAAATTAGGAGCTGATTTTTTTTCACCCCAAAAACAAAGTAAGGTGTGCTCAGTAAAGCTCATTTGGAAAAATGCTGAAACATAGGACGAAAAGAAACCGCCTGTCATTCAAACACAGCTATTGTTGATGTTTTGAAGAATTACAAAGCATTTGTGTATATGTATTTAACAGAAGCGGACATTACATATACATATGTATGCATATTAAACACAGTTGAGCAAATTGGTTATAGAAGTTTGTGTTTTGCTTTTTAAAATTTTATAAGCAGGAGTATTCCCCCGGGACAGTACAAACTCTTTGTGAGGGTCATCGTTATTCATCATACAAATTATATCCACATACTTAACCAGTCCTGTTACGGTTGCAAACGTAGCTTGTCTAATATTTTCTTCTGTTGTTATAAACACCACTGCAATGAACATATTTGTGCATAAAACATTACCCAAATGGAAATTTACTTCCTGAAGACAAATTCTTTAACAGATTGTAAACTCCAAGAGAGCAGGGACTTCCTGCAAGGAGAGAGGAGTGTTAGGGTGGGAGGCTGGAGGGACGAGAATGAACAGACCAGAGACTGAAATAGTGCATAACCACTGAAACATTATCGATCAGCTCCTCTCCAGAGGGTTGTGTTAATTTATACCCCCAGTAGCAACATGTGCTTTACGTGTCCATTCCAGCACAATGCTGACCAGCATCGGGTAGTAGCCATTTTCTGATCCTCTGTTTATACGATTACTAACCAGGCTGGATGGTTTTCTCTGCAGCAAGAGTCTGAAGGCCAATTAGCAAACAGAAAAGGTCCTTACCTGTGATGGGGAGGACAAGGAGGCTCCTCGCCACAGGCTGGCACATCCAGCAGTCAGCAGCGGTGACCCAGACGGAGACTGGGAAGTCCCCGGGCATGGTCCCCACGGCGCGGATGGTGGAGCTGAAAGCCTCATCAGTCTTCCCCGTGAGCAGCAGTGGGGTATGGATCCAGTGGAAGTGGTAGGGGCGGGTGCTGGTGGGCAGGACCAGGCTTCCATTGTCACTGGCCACCAGGCTGGCTGTGATGGTCACCTCTGCCCCCGTGGTGGCAGGGCCATCGGTGGTGAGGTGGAGTTCATACAGCCCTGGGAGCCCAGAGACAAAAGACTGTATTTCAGGAGAGGTGTGGTAAGGAACCCACTGTCACCCTCTGGGCTGGCTTCTATTATTCTATTTTATAAGTGGAGAAACTGAGGCCCGGCAGCTCAAGTGACTAGCTGATTGTAAGCTGGGACTCGAACCCAGGCCCAACAGAGTCCAGAGATTTTCTTTTTAGGCCAGCCAAGCGGGGCCTTCCAGAGCACAGGCCTGACCTGGCCAGACTTATTTCTTAGCTATGAAAATGACTGCCAACGTATGTCATAGGAGGGACCACCTCGGCTGCTACCCCGAAAAAAAAAAAATGTCCTCTATCACCTGTTCCTTTGGACTAGTCTTTCCATGTCAAACACAATTCTGATCTGAAACACAAAGCTGAGTCTGGAGCCTCTTTAGAGGCCTAATGCCTAGACAGCAATGGAACAAGCCTCGGGCAAAGGTCCACTCTGATTCAAGCCAAATCTTCTTCTACACTGCCCAACACAGCTGTCACTGGCCACGGCCACGGCCACGCATGGCTGTGTAAGTTTCAGTTAAAATGAAACAAAATTTAAAACTCACTTTCTTAGCCACAGTAGCTGCATTTTTTTTTTTAAGATTTTTTTTAAGATTTATTTGAGAGCGAGAGCGCTGGAGAGAGCATGGGCGCGGGGGGGTGTAGGGGCAAAGGGAGAGGGGGAAGCAGACTCCCCACAGAGCAGGGAGCCCGATGAGGGGCTCGATCCCAGGACCCCGAGATGATGACCTGAGCTGAAGACAGGTGCTTAACAGACTGAGCTACCCAGGCTCCCTATGTAGCTGCATTTCAAGCACTCAATAGCAAAGATACAGAATATCTTCATTATCACAGGAGGTCCCACTGGACGGCACTGCTCACTGCTCTTAAATGACCTCTGTGATTCCTGCTGGGGCCAACGCTGGAACTCTAGCTGGTCGACTCCTCAGGGAACTTGAACTGAAATATGGGGGATGCAGCTCTTACAGGGAACCTGGGAATCAGTCTTGGAGGATCCTAACAGAGAACAGGGCCTTGAGCGTATGGGATAGAGGCCGGGTCAGAGACCCTTTAAAATAACACTCCCCTCCCGACTGACTACTGCATGGAAGGTAAGACTAACTGTAACCTGAAAATAGAGAATTAAAACTTAAACAATTTTATTAAAATAAAAATAATCAGTAACAACCAGTGTTACCATATATGGGCATTTCCTACTTAAAAAAAAAAAAACGTGCTTGTACTTTGGAATTCTATATTCTATTGCTGTTGTTTTCAATTCCATATCACGGGCATTTTCCTAAGTCATTATTCTTCAACTGCTTTACTATGTGCATAATATTTTATCATCTAAACAAAGTAAGATTTTTAAAATAAGGTTTCTTTCCATCATGAAAGTATATTAGAAATGTCCCATTACCCTACTTCCAAAAAACAGCTGCTGTCCTCATGTCTCTTTTTCATGCATAGCATTTTTTAATTTAGACATAATCACACTCTTCACACAATTTTGAATTATTTTATTTTCACATGACAACATGTTAAAAGCATGTCTGTGGTCGCACTAATGTGATTTTCACTGTTGGTATGATAATCCCTCAAGCAGGTATATCTTTTTTTTTTTTTTTTAAAGATTTTGTTTTTAAGCAATCTCTATACCCAACGTGGGCTCGAACTCACAACCCCGAGATCAGGAGTTGCATCCTCCACTGACTGAGCCAGCTGGGTGCCCCTAATTTTTTTTTCAAGTAAACTCTACCCCCAATGTGGGGCTCAGACTCATGAGATCAAGAGTCGCACGCTCTACCAACTGAGCCAGCCAGGCGCCCCAAGCAGGTATACCTTGATTCCCAGAACCCCTCACTCTTGCCGTGACGATTTTGTTATAATTTGTGTATTTCCTCTTCAGGTGAGATTTCTGAAGGGCTGCAGGTTAGAGAGTGTCCAGCCTGCAACAGCATACTACTTCACCAGAAGAGGTGACACAGAAGGAAGGCTGGAGGGGCCCCAAGCCCCTCTCTGCTCATTTCCCTCACTCCCACCCACCTGCTCCCCTGGTTTCGAGTATCTCCTAAATGCTGGCAGAACCAAGTAACCTAGACCTACTTTCTGGGCTCCAGATCTGCACTGAGCAAAATAGGAGCTGCTAACCACCTGTAATTACATTTAAATGAATCAGAGTTAATTACTTAAATTGAACCAACACTAGAAATTCAGTTCAGTTGAGCTAGCCACATTTCAAGTGCTTCACAGCCAGATGTGGTCAGTAGCTACTCTTCAGGGCAGGTATAGAATATTTCCTTCATCATCCAATGTTCTGCTGGATAGTGCTGCTGGTCTAGGGGTCTCCCTTCCCCACACCTACCATTTTCAGCCATCGCTCTCTGTTGGGGCCGGAGGGAGCAGCTGTCCCAGGAATCAATCAATCCCTCGTCCTTTGCCTCCACTCCTCCCATCTGGGCGAGTTTGCTTGCTCTCCATCACTACTAGCATTGCTAAAGGCTAGCATTCAGCTGTTACTACTTCGTCCTTGGCCCTGGCCCTCGGCCTACGGTCCTCCCCTCTCTCAGCACCATCCACCCCTCTGCCCCCACCCAACAAGGAGCTTCCTCCACAGCTAATGTGTTCACGGACCAGCCTCAGTGTGGAGTCCGAATTCACATCCACGCCGGGGCTGGCCACTTTAACTCTTGCAGCTTTCTCGACATGTTCTGTCCTTCCTAACCTCAGGGCCTTTGCACATGCTGTCCCCCCTGCCTTTCTCTACCTACTCGTCCGTGGATATAACCTCTTCCAGGAAACCTTCCCTGAACTCCTTGCCCCCTCAGTGCTCTCCAAACAGCCTGAGCACACAGTGGTCCCAACCCCACGTCAGCATGAAGCTTTCTTTGTCTCCTTTGCTGCACCGCAAGCTCCTTGAGGGCAGGGGTCATTGTCGTCTCCCCATGTGCCCAACAAAGTGCTTGGCACATAGTAGGTGTTCAACACTGCTGCTGCCCAAGGCTCCTGGAGAGAAGGGTGTGGCAGAGGGACCAGCCCACCTAGCACTGCCCACCCAGGTGATACTGACTGAGCCCCTTCCTTGTGCCCCACGCCACAAGTGCTGGGGGAACCCAGAAGTGTAGGACATGCCTCCTGCCCTCAGGGAGCTCGCCAGAGACCTGCGGGACTCAGCAAACCTGGGACAGGAGCAAGTGTGTCCTCAACTGTGTCCCATTCGCCTTGTGGCAGTTGCCTGTCCTCGCTGGGGACTCCTGCTCTACCCTCTCCCTTCGTCCACGTCACACACTCCCTGTTCGGAATTCCCTTCCCCAGAGCCATTATTTTGGAGTGTGAAGTCATTTGGACTGGCACTGACAAAGGGACCTGCAGTGTCTTAATCCCAAAGAGAGAATTCCCGATCCTATGGCAGAGATTTCTGCAAGAAAATACAGTGTGTATTTTACATTGAGGGACATGAGTCCCCTGAGGTCCCCATGTAACTACCTGGAGCCACCAAGCAAATCTGTACCCACCCCCCCCTCCCCTGGGCTGAGTTCTATTCTCCCTCCCTTTGGCTGTGAGGCAGCATTTGGCCAGGAAAGAGAGGCCATCCCCTCCCTTCTTCCTCTTGCTCCCTCCCGTCCCCCCAGGCGAGGAGCGTGGGCCAGAGCGAGGCTAGCAGGTGGCAGGGACATTCGGCTGCATGCTAATGGCCATCCAGCATCTGCAGCGAGACTGGAGACAGGCGCATGTCAGCACTACGCAGATCCGTTGCCAGGGGAATGGACTGGCTGGGAGGAGGGGTGGGGTGGCATGGGGGTGGGGGGGAGGGGCTGTGGCTACAGCTAAGCTACATTGCTGCAGACGCTGGCCCAGCTCCTGGGAGTCCCCACACCTGTCCAGACACAGGGAAGCTCCGAGGGCACTTTTCCTCAAGCTTTTTTTTTTTTTTTTCCCCAAGCAGATGTTTCACAGCCCCTGGGTAATGTTGCTCCTCTCTTCCTTAGGGCTCTCAGAAGTGTCCAGGGCATCCAAGCTAAAATGGACCGTGAAGGCTTTGCCACGTGTGGCTAAAGGAACCAAGCCCAGATCCTGTTGCCCTACCCATCCAAACCTCTCTTTCCAGGTTTGGGAGCCCAGGGGACATGGCCTTGGAGTACAGAGCAGCAGCTAAGGGAGGGCCTTAGGGGGTTCAACGGGTGCACTGAGTGACCCAGAGCTGAAAGGGTCAAAGCAAAAGGCAAAATGGCAACTGCCACGAAGCCTAGCCCATGGAAGCAACACTCACTCACTAGCAGGCCCCGTGGGCTTCCCCTTGGAGCACATCTTCCCTGACAACACAGCATGTGGGGCCCTGAACATTCTAGAAAATGGCTGAATCGGGTCTTTCACACTGCACATGTGGATAGCCCCAAACACTTCCCAAGGTACCTCCGGAGTCTGAACAACGTAACCTGGAATTAATGAATGGTCCAGTACTTGGACTCTGACCTTCACTTCTAGTGTGGGAAGCATCAGGTGCACGCTGACCCAGACCCCAGGAAGAATGGAAAGGGCTTCCAAGTCTCTGTTTTTTCCCTGTGTGTGAAGGAGAAGGTATGCTCCCCAACCTCATTCCCAGCTTATCTTGATCATATCTTGAATAGGCCAGGCTGGGAACCAGACATGACTTCCAAAGAATTAATGTACTTTTTTTTTTTCTTTTTTGCAATTTAGGCCACGGTGATCATTTCCAGACACATGTAAACCCAATGGACAAGAGGCCCCCATCTCTACATGACATTTCCAGGAGGGAAGCAGGGAATCCTGACCAAGCATAATTCCCACAAAATTCTCCTAATCCATCCCTAAGATGCAGGTTTTTATTTTACCTTTTGGATTCTTTCACAATTTGGCATTAGATCTCTTTCTCTCGCTACCATTCTTTGGGGGGGGGGTAGGGGCGTAATGAAAAATGTTGACTAACACACGCACACCACCAGAGCTGCCCACGTCCCACCTGTCCCCCAACTCTCCAATCCGGGTCCTTTTGTTGTCGCCAAAATGAGACAGAAAGGTTGGTGCTGGCCTTCCGGCGGTGGGGAACGGAGGGGAAGTAGGGAGCATAGGAGCGCGGCCCGGTGGGGCAGGGGGCGGGGAGGCGGCACCCAGCAGCACCTGTCAGCTAGGGGTCCATTTTGGAAAGACGAAATGGCAGACTGGCCTCTTGGGCTCTAAAATCTCAACCTCCCCGAAGCCAACACAAGCAGGGTGGGAGACCTCTCCGGATAAGACAACATTTAAAGGCAAAGACGCTGCTCCGCGGGCAACCTGTCCGCGTTCCCTGGGGGGCTGGGGCGTGATGAGAGATCCCGCACATTCTCGGTCTCCCCGCATCGTCCTCCCCGCCCCACCCCCCAGCGGCTGCGAGGACCCCAGGCACCCGCATGGGTGCCCCAGCCACCGCGCGCAGTTCCCAGGGCAGGGCCGATCTGGAGGTGGCAGCAGGAACCGAGGAGCGCGGGGAGGCCCCTCGAGTGCCGGGCCGACTTCTGGGGAGAAGGATGCGGGGAGAGAAGAGGGGGATTCGAGGCGCCGGCTGGCCACGCTCCCCTCTGCCGCGCGCTGCAGAGGCTGCCCGGGAGGCGGGAGGTGCGCGCAGGGCGCACGGTTGGACCGCCCCG